CAAACATGCAACCCAGGTCCATACCCTTGACCAGTAATCCAACCCGAAATCCTTGGTCCATGGGCTGACGCTCTAACTGCTGAGTCAAACCAGCCAGGGCTAGCATATCAAAATTGTATAGGGTGGCTGGCTTCCCAGTGCTCTGTCACCTGAACAATGTTAAGATCTACTGCTTTACACTTTGGTGATTGCATGCAAAAAAAAATCCCAGCTTAGGAAAATCTGATATAAAATAATGAGGATTTAAACTAATAAATCAGGAGTAGCTATTTTTTTATAATATATTTCATTTTTTAGGACAGTTTTAGTTTTAAAGGAAAATTGAGATGGTCATACAGAGAGTTCCCAAATATCCCACTTCCAATTTCTCTTATTAACATCCTACACGAGTATGATATATTTGTTAGATTTGTGGCATTATCATTATTGTTAAGGCCCATACTTTATTCAGATTTCCTTAGTTTTTTTAAAATATGTTTTGATTTTATTTTGGAGAGAGAGGAAAGGATAGAGAGATCGAAACATAGATATGAGAGAGAAACATTGATAAGCTGCCTCCTGCACGCCCCCTACTGGGATGGAGCCGGAAACCTGGGCATGTGCCCTGAGCCAGAATTGAACTGGGTCCTCTCAGTCCATGGGACGATGTTCAGTCGACTGAGCCACACCAACTGGGCAGATTTCCTTAGTTTTTACTTAATGCCATCTAGGATAAAACCAATTTCGTTTAGTTTTCATGTCTCCTTAGGTTTTTCTTGGCTGTGACAGTTTCTAGATTTTTTTTGATTTTGATGACTTGGACAGTTTTGAGGGATACTGGTTAGATATTTTGTAGAATATTACTCCATTGGAACTTGTTTGATGTTTTTCTCCTTGTTATATTGGGATTATGGGGTTTGGGGAGGAAAACCACAGGGGTGAAGTGCCATTTCCATCACATCATGTCATACACCAGTGATTTCTCTCTGTTGATGTTGACCTTGATCATTTGGCTGAGATAGTTTGTCAGATTTCTCCGCTGTAGTTAGTCTCACACACCCCTCTTTCCATACTGTACTCTTTGGAAGGAAGTTACTATGTGCAGCCCACACTTAGGAGTGGGTAGTTAAGCTCTACTTCTTCAAGAGAGCAGTATCTACATAAATTATTTGGAATTCTCCTGCATAGGAGATTTGTCTTTTCTCCCCTATTTCTTTATTTATTAAGTCATTTCTATCAGTATGAATTCAGGAACATTTATATTTGAGATAATAATTCCTTTTTTTTTTTATTTTGATGTCTCTTTGGCATACCCACATCAATGTGAGGTTTTGTTTCTTTTTCTTTTTCTTTTTGCTTATTTTTGAGCATTTCCTTACTTTCTGGTACTACAAGATGCTCTAGGCTTACATTGTGTATTTCCTGCCCCAGTTTTAGAATCAGCCACTTTCCAAGGAGCCCATGGGATGGCTATTTTCATTTTTAGGTGATTACTCACCTCACATATGGATAAAGGTACTGGCGCGTGCAAATTGTTTTATATAATTTGATCAACAACTCTTCAGGAACATGCCTTTTGCTGGACTCAGCTATTTTATTTATTTATTTGTTTATTTATTTATTTATTTATTTATTTATTGTATTTATCTTCAGATAGAGCAGGAGAGAGAGAGGGAGGAAGAGAGAGAGAGAAACAGAGACACATTGACTGGTTGCCACCCACACGATCCCAACCAGGGCCGGGGGCAAACTGCAACCGAGGTACGTGCCCTTAGTGGGAACCAAACCCGGGACTCTCTGGTCTGTGGGCCAATGTTCTAACAGCTGAGCCAAACTAGCCAGGGCTGGACTCAGCTATTTTAAAAACTGTGTCTAGTTTTTTAAAGTTTCCAGCGAGACTTTATTCTAGCCAGAATATGAAAAGCCGTTCTAAGATGAGAAGTGTCTTTATCTTCATCCTTCCATTCTTATCATGAAAGGAGGTCATTGGTGATTATAAGGGTTTTGTGGCAAAGACTGATATAGAGGAAAGAGAACCAGACGAAGCCTGGAAATTGGATTTGGTCCAGTCGTTGCCACTGCACCTATGTGCATTTGTCAAGTATCACTTCACTCTTTCTACCTCATCTATAAAAAGAGGTGAGTGGCAGAGCTCATTTCTAAGGTTCTATTCAGTTTTAAACTGCTCTGCTATTAACAATAGCAGTACTATGGAATGGCAGGAGATTTGAGAACTTCAGGGTAGGAGATGTGGGCAGGAATAGAAGCATGAAAGGGCAACTTGTGACTCCAAGAGAACGAGGCAGATCAATGACCAAAATGTAGAATTTTAGAATTAGCTAGTGAGCACTAGGTAAGTGGTATCATTAATGATCATATTAAATATTAATGACAACATTAAAGTCTTAATCTTGATTATAATGTAGCCTGCAGTTGCTGCTCTAGATCCCCCTGGCCGAGTATGCTTTAGGCTGGGGTTCTCAAACTTGGCTGCACATTGGAATTACCTGAAACACAATTGCCTAAGTTCCAATGCCAGAGATTCAGATATACTTATTTTGGAGTACAGCCTAGGCATCAGGAGTTTTTAAGTTCTTCTTCCCCCACCCCACTCTAATGGCAACCGAGGTTGAGAAGCACTGCTTTAGGCTGTAGATGTGCTTGCCCCTCTTCCACATAACACATGGGTCTCCTTAAGGGCAGGGACCACATCTTACTCATCTTTGCAGTCCTCAGAGTACTTTGTACAAAGCAGCTGATGAATTGAATTTAGATAGTGTATTAGTTTCCTATTGCTGCTGTAAAAAAATTACCACAAACTTAATGGCTTAATGCAACACAAATTAATTTTATTACAGGTCTAGAGCTCACATGTCCAAAAAAAGCTCACTGGCCTAAAGTCAAGGTGTCAACAGGGATGCTTTTTTCTGGAGGCTCTAGAGGAGAATCCATTTCCTTGCCTTCTCCAGCTTTTTGAGGCTGCTCACATTCCTTGGTTCATGGCACCACATCACTCCAACCTCTGTTTCCATTGTCATACATATCTCCTCTGACCATGACCCTCTTGCCTCCCTCTTTAAGGTCTCTTTTGATAATATTGGGCCCAATGGGATAATCTTCCCATCTCAAGATCCTTAACTGAGTCACATTTTTGCAAAGCCCCTCTTGTCATATAAGGTGACATATTCATGGGTTCTGGGAATTAGTGCAGGACATCTTTGGGGGGACACTATTCTATCTACCACAAATAGAGACAGAACAACTGCTATAGCTACAGGCCCATGTATGGAATTAAGTTACCCTGTGATACGTGACAACTCTTTACTTTGCCTTTCTTGTTTTAGCTGTGTTAGGATTTAATCAGAGACCATTTTTTGTGGGAAGTTATACACTCTCATGAAAATTTAACATGTGAAAAACCTGTGAGGCACCTGAAAGCAACAGAAATAAAGAGCAGATACTTGTTTTTAAATGATTCAGTAAAGTGATTTTCAGAACTATAATTGCCTGTGGTGTTTTAAAGGGCAGGCAGAGATGCCCAGTCACTCTGGCAAAGGGCTGTGCCTCAGGGCCTGGGGGATGACTGGATCTCTGTTGTGTGGTTTCCTTGCCACCTGCCCACCCATTGCGTCCTGAGCCTGGTTGTGCTTGGGACAAGAAGCCATTTGGCACCTCCAGCTTAAGCTCTACAAGCAGCTCCCCGGACAAGGGTGTGAGGGCCAGCAGATAACATGTCTGGCCCAGAGTCAGAGACAGTGTCAAGCGATTGAGGGGTCAGGAGGGGGGCTTTGTATGTAGGCAGAAAAGGGTCCTGAAAGACATGGTTTTAGGTAAGGGTTTCCCATTTACTGCTCAATGCAGCAGATGGCAGAGGCCCCTGAGGAAAAAATGTCTTTCTACTGAGAGATTATTCTAACCCTGTTACCTGCTATAGGGGTCCAATTCCCCAAGATGGCTCTTTCCAGCTGGTCTCTCTGTCTTGCCAGACAGTGGAGTCTAGCCAGCCATCTCCCCAAATGAGTTGGTAAAGTCCCTGCTGCTGAGAACTCGCTCTAGCCAGAGCTTGACCCTAGCTATTGCCATGGTGACAGCCAACTGCTGCTTAGCACCACCAGCCTGGGGACTGGGCACAAAGGAAAGGTGGCCTAGGGATGTGCAACTGGGCAGCCCTGTACTCCTGGAGGCCTTGAGGGTGGCAGAAAGGTCCCTTTGGGGACACCTGGTAGGCTCTGAGGGGTTTGTTCTCTTAGAGCAGTCAGGAAGTTTGAAGGCCTCCACTCCTCCACATTGTAATCAGGGTTTATGAAGATGAAGGTTCCTTTGCCAAGGAAGTTCTGCTGTTTTTACACACACGCATTCATGCACGCATTCTTTCACTTTGGTATGCACTTTCATTCTTGCATTTGACACCATACTGACCTTCAAAAGAGTTAGAGACCTGGGAGTGTGCATCTACTCAGTCCTGCTTTGACTTTAAGACTTGCCCTTTGATGTAGCTTGGTTAGAATTCAGAACTTCATGGAGTTTCTATGTGACCCAGGGCAAGTTAATTAACCTAGCAATGATAGATAATATTTATTGTCAGGCATTGTGGTGCATGCTTTCCATACATTATTTAATTTTCATCTAATTTTTTTTTAAATTTAGTTTTTTTGATTCCCATCTTCAGATATAGAAACTGAGGCTCGAGATCTGTCTAGCATGGGCCCAGGACTGAGTCACTCTGAAGCCCGTGTTCTTAGCCATTGTTCTTAACCTTGTAAGCTGTAATTTCCTCATCGTAAAATGGGGATAATAGCTGCCTCACAAGATAACTGTGTTGTGAGGATCAAATGAGATCATCTTGGTAAAAGCTTTTCATAGAGGTAAATGACAGATACTATCAGCTGTATAACTGGGGAGGAGAAAGAGGCTTATCTCTGGGTCCTGGGAGAGTCCTCCTGCTCTTTAAGGTTACACAGTGGTGATCGGGCCTCTGGTTTCCAGAATCTCAAGGTCTGGCTGGTTCCCTGTCTCCACAGGTGATTTCCATGGTGATGGTGTCCATAGGAGTTTATGCCCGGCTGATGAAGCACGCAGGTGAACTATATATCCCCCTTCATCTCCCCATGACTCTTGCAGGGCCCTTTCTCCTCTGTCTCCTTCAGCCCTGTACCATTCCTTCCCACATAATCTACGGGGCTAAGGAGGCAGCCACCTCTAGCCAAGTTTTGGCAGCTTGTTCTCACACCAGTTCACCTGGAGTTTCTGGAGCTCCCACGAATCTTCCAAATATGCCTGCATTTTAGGCTTAGGAAGTGTCTAGGAAAGAAGGTAGGCCCCTGGGAGCAAAGTCATCAGAGGCTTCAGCCCCTCCCTCACTCTGTCCTAGAGTAACGCAACCTCCATTCCTATTCCAGTGTACAAAGTCTCCAGGAAATGATCAGCAAAGCTGGTGAGCCTAATGCCATTCTAATTCTTTTCTGGAGCGAAAGTGGTCCCTCCTCTCTTGAACCAAGGAATAAAGGCTCTTACTTTGTTAGTTTTTCAAATTAAATGCCACAAACCATGCACGGGCCCTTTTTATTCCCTGGGAGAGCAGTACTGCCACCCCATAACCTTCACCCCGAACACACTAGACATCCCCCCACTAGGAGAGGAGAACATTTGGGGGGCACCCCCCCCACCCATTCCTGGGTGCCACCCTGAGTTGGCACCAGGCTCAGACTGAGAGTCAGCCCCTTCCACCAGAAGCAGCCTTGGCCTGCCTGGCAGTGGACCCAGCCATCCTGCTGATCGTGGTGGGCGTCCTTATGTTTCTGCTCACCTTCTGTGGCTGTATTGGATCCCTCCGTGAGAACATCTGCCTCCTGCAGACGGTGAGTGCTCAGGGGCCCCACTAGAAAGACCGTGGTCCCCTTCTCCCTGTGCCTCTCAGCCTTCCAGTGCCATTCCTACAACCTTTTGGTTTCCTCTGTCCCACCCTACCCCAAGGTCGGTGCTGTCAACTCTTCACTGTAGACTTCAACCCAGGTGACCCAGCACAGGGTGACAGCATCCCAGAAGCAGCAGCCTTCATCGTGTGGGGGTCCATCTGGGAGAAGTACCCTGAGGCCCCTCAGTACTTCCCATGGCCCTGGGAGGGGCTACTGCCCAATGTAGTAACAGACTGTCACCTCTTCCTACCCATTCCCCACAGTTCTCGCTCTGCCTCACCATCGTGTTCCTGCTACAACTGGCTGCTGGGATCCTGGGCTTCGCCTTCTCAGACAAGGTAGTGTTGGGATCCAAGGGCCTCCTCAGGTGTGAAACAGAGGAGGAAGGGAAAGTTTCTGCCTGTGCTTACCTTGATTAATTAACCACAGCACTGAGAAGCCTTTGAAAGTTTCTCCTCAGGGATGAATGAATGGCCTTTAAAGTCACCATATTTAAAGATGATTTCAAGTGTAAGGTGTTCCCCCCTGAGAGGCCAACAGGGAAGTAAATTCTATGAACACAAAGTCAAAATAATATGCAAACTTTAATGGCAAATGATTAGACCACAGATAATATGAAGAGCCTTTTACTTCTTTGGGAAAATTGTGCATTGGAATAAACAGAAAGAATGAAGGAGGAAATTAAACAAGATTTTGAACAGTGCTTACCATATCTGAACATGATCTGTCATTCAGTGATAGTTCCTTTTGTTAAGAATCAGAATTCCTTTCCCAAAGGGCAGATGATTGTAGGGGACAGAGTATAGGACTATGGATAGGACACTTTGGGAAAAGTAGTGGAGCAAGAAGGAAGAGAGCATGGTAAAAACTGTGGAAGAAGTGGAGAATCACTGTATTCATTCAGAATGTCCTAGTCCTGGCTTAATAAAATCCTAAAATGATAAACATAGATGTTTTGAATCTAAAGAGATGTAATTATCTTTTGTCCACTAGAGGTCAGTGCCTCAGCTCAGTAAGCCTTTTTCTGCTAAAAAAAACATTTTTTTTTCCTCTGCCTTGCATCAATCAGCAAGTATTTTGTGGTAATACTATACAGAAATAGATAAATATTTGATTATCATGAAATGTGGCTCTATGAAGGTCCATTGGTACCTGCGGGCCCAGGGATGGATGGGCTTCAGAACTGGCTATCTTCCATCACCAGAACTTGGTTCTGATTTCAAGGCTAACTTAAATAAACTAGGATGACCACTGTCTACTGTTATTTCTGCAGGGAGGAGCAGGTTAGGGTTTAGTTCTGTGTTCTGATTCCCTACTCATGTCTCTGGCAGGCACGAGGGAAAGTGAGTGAGATCATCAATAATGCCATTGTACACTACCGAGATGACCTGGACCTGCAGAACCTCATTGATTTTGGCCAGAAGGAGGTATGGGATAAGAGGTGGGATTGGGCAGCTAGTGGTCCAGGAGGCTGTGAGCAAGTCAGTGCCATCCCTAGAGAGGCCTCACCTCCAGACTGTGGGCTTTTTCATTACCTGCCAGGGTAATGGATTCTGGGCAGGGGGTTGGAACAGAAAAATACATGCAGGGTACTTTAAAAGGGCTCAGAACAGTATATATAATAATCTACCACTTGTGTAAAATAAGAGGGAGGGAAGAGCATGTATTCATATTTGCAAAAGGAATCCGAAAGGATATGTAAGAAATAATTATAAGTGGTTGCTTATAGAGGGATGAGGAACTGGGAAGATTTTTAAATATTAACTTCTATTCAGAAATTTAAAATTTTAAATTGTGGTAAAATATACATAACATAAGTTTACCATTTTAACCATTTTGAAGTGTACAGATCTGTGGCTCTAAGTACATTCATCTTACTGTATAACCATTATCACCATCCTTCTTCAGAACTTTTTCATCTTCCCCAACTGAAACTCTGTACCCATTAAGCAATAACTCCCCATTTCCCCATTGGCCAGCTCCTGAAAACCACCATTCTACTTTCTGTCTCTATGAATTTGACAACTCTAGCACCTCTTATAAGTGGAATCGCACAGTATTTGTTTTTTTGTGACTGGCTTATTTCACGTGGCATAATGTCTTCAGGATTCATCCAAATTGTAGGATGTGTCAAAATTCCCTTCCTTTTTAAGGATGAATAATATTCCATGGCATATATATACCACACTTTGTTAATCCATTCATCTTTTTTTTTTTTAAAGACTTAAAAAATTTTTTTTATTTTCCTTTATTGATTTTAGAGAGAGAGGAAATGAGAGGGAGAGACAGATAGAAACATCGATGGGAGAGAACATCGATTGGCCACCTCCTACATGCCCCCCACTGGGGGTCGGGCCCACAACCGGGGCATATGTCCTGACTGGGAATCAAACCGGCGACCTCTTGGTGCATGGATCGATGCTCAACCACTGAGCCACACCGGCCGGACTTTTTTGTTTTTTTATCCTCACCCCAAGGATATTTTGCATTTATCTTCAGATAGAGCGGGAGGGAGGAAGGAAGGGAGAGAGAGAGACATTGATGTGAGAGAGACACATTGATTGGTTACCACCCATACGACCCCTACTGGGGTCTGGGACAAACTGCAACCTAGATAAGTGCCCTTAGTGGGAACTAAACCTGGGACTCTGGTCTGTGGGCCGATGCTCTAACCACTGAGCACCGGCCAGGCGATCCATTCATCTTTTGATGCAACTGGAGTCTCTTCCAACTTTTGGCTATTGTGAATAATACTACTATGAATCAAAAGCCAAATTTTATTTATTTATTTTTAAATATATTTTTATGGATATTTAGAGAGAGAGAGGAAAGGAGAAGGAGAAAGAGAGAGAAACATCAGTGTGAGAGAGAACCATTGATTGGCTGCCTCCTTCACACCCTGTCCTGGGGATCAAACCCAAAACCCAGGCATGTGCCCTGACCGGGAATGGAACCAGTGACCTCTTGGTGCATGGGTTGACGCTCAACCACTGAGCTACACCAACCAGGCTAAAAGCTAAATTTTATTAAAAAAATTTTTTTTTCTTTTTTGATTTTAGAGAGAGGGAGAGAGAGATAGAAACATCAATGTGAGAGAACATTGATTGGCCACCTCCTGCATACCCCCCACTCAGGATTAGACCCACAACCTGGGCATGTGCCCTGATCTTTTGGTGCATGGGTCGATGATCAACCATTGAGCCACACCAGCTGGGCTAAAAGCTAAATTTTATATAAAAGTGCTTTTGAGACCAGTGCTGAGTTTCCCTTCCCTTGGCGCAACAGACACTGACTGCATCCTAGTTGCTTTCATAGAGTAATTATGGGCCCTCAATATTGAAGGTTATTCTCCTGTGTTTTCTCTACATTAACACAAATATTTGCAACACTGAGCCTTTTATTTCAGTTAGTATTTTTGAACACCACCTTTTGCCAGGCTCTGCTATGCAGGACTGAAAAACCAGAAAGAACCTGCCTTCAAGAAGCTCATAGTTTAATGTGTAAAACTTCTTCACCTGAAGGCCACTGAGAAACTTGAACTCATGTTTCAAGGCTGTGTTTAAGCACAACCTGAACTTACAAGTGGAAACTTGCCGTAGACTTTTGACTACTCAGAATTCTCCTGGTCACTTCATTGTGAGAGTGGGTGATTCTTAACCTCTGTGGTGGGCTTTGTTGCAGTTCAGTTGCTGTGGAGGGATTTCCTACAAGGACTGGTCCCTGAACATGTACTTCAACTGTTCAGAAGATAACCCCAGCCGTGAGCGTTGCTCTGTGCCTTACTCCTGTTGCTTGCCTACTCCCAGCCAGGTGAGCGCACTTTACACCTCATTTCCTCCTGGGCATTGATCTGAGTTACTTTCTAATTAGGGCAATCACAGTTGTTAGGAATCCCCATACCCTCAATTAACCAATCAATCTTGTTGGACAGCTGTCAGATGTTTTCCTTCATCCCAATCTGATGGCTTTGTTAACTTTTCACTCCTGTAGCCCACACAGGGGTTCAGAAGAGGCAAGCTTCTAAAGCAAGGAGCACTGGACTTGGATCTCTCAGAGAAAAGGAAGCCTGCATTTTGCAACTTCCAACCTAGCATCTTCCACATATACTCCCTAACAATTTAGGAGTTTAAGAAGGGTGGGAAGCCCATCAGCTAGGTCCTGAAAGAAAGGCATTGGAATGAGAGTCCCATTTGGGTTTTTAACTCTCTCCCCAGGCAGTGATCAACACTATGTGTGGCCAAAGTATGCAGGCCCTTGACTACTTGGAAGCTAGTAAAGTCATCTACACCAATGGCTGCATTGACAAATTGGTCAACTGGATACATAGCAACCTCTTCTTACTTGGTGGTGTGGCACTGGGCCTGGCCATCCCCCAGGTAACATACCCTGCAAGACTTGTGGGTCCCACATCCTGCAAAGACTCCTTTGTTTTGGGGAGGGCACCTGGGGATCAGCTAGGGTGTCAGGCACTGACATTGCTGAGGAGCAGGGGATGAGATGTGCTGACTGAACTAGGAAGATTGAGTCAGGGAAACAAGGGCATTGTTCACTGCTGAGGGCCCAATCCTTCTCGCCTCTCCCAGCTGGTGGGAATCCTGCTGTCCCAGATCCTCGTGAATCAGATCAAAGATCAGATCAAGCTACAGCTGTACAACCAGCAGCACCGGGCTGACCCATGGTACTGAGACTACATCTGCACTTCCTCATTATGGCAACAGCAGAGCCTCATCACCAACAGCAGTGGGTATAGTTTTCAACGCTCAGCAGTGGGTACAGCTCTCAATGCCCAATGGAGATTTGGATTCCAGCCCCCCCCAGCAACAGCCAGTGGGAAGAAGCAAACTCCAGACAGGCAGAAGGCAGGTGCACAGGTGGCTCAAGACTCAGGAGAATGTGCCTCCTCTTCCTTTTCTAGCCCTCAGCATTGTTAGAGAGTTATTTTGTATTGTTTCTAACCTTACCCCTTTGAATTTATGTTTTTTTAAGTTTTGTCTGGGCAGAGCTGTTTGGGAACAGCAGTTGCAAAGAGTTGTGGGGGTACAGCTGCTGCTTTTCACCAAGATAACTGACCACTCTGTTAAGGCGGCTACTGAGGTTGATGGACACACTCAGATTCCAGCTGTTGCCAGCAAGACCTGGTTGGAGCCCAACTGGCATGTTACCAGCTCCAGAAGGGAAGGGAATGGAGCAGGCAGTGAGCTTGGGGGTCAGCTGGGGACAGTTGTATGTGCTGGGTAGCAATGGGAGGCAATATGTTTACTAAATGCCTGCCCTGCCATCCTCCCAGGTAGTCAGAGTGAGGTACATCCTGTCCCTCCCTCATTTCCATGGAAACATGGCAGCAAGGGCAAGGGGGGCGACAGCAGCCAAATTCATCCTTCTCTCCCCTACCCTCTTCGAAAAATGTTTGAGACCATGGTCTCTATATTCTGCAACCAGCAGAGGTGGAACTGAGCCATATGTGCTTTTGAATTCCTCCGTCTGGCCCTCCCTCTCCAGCAAGTGGGGGTTCTTTAACCTTGGCAGTGTGCAGAGGAAGTGAGGTAACACCACCCCCACCCCCACAATGTCACCCCCCCCCCCCCCTCCGTCCCCATTCCCCTGCACCAGAGCTCAGTATTTCTACAGTGTAAGACGCAGGGAACTTGCTGGGCATGGGGAGCCAGAAATGGCAATAAAATGTGTTGACCTGGGCTAAGATGGACTCCATGAATTTTCCATTCTGGCAACTAGACGGGGAAGGGTAGAGGGCCCAGCTGGTGGGCCCCCCCTTCCAGGAGGGGACTGGAGACTCCCCTAAATGCCACAGTACCTCCTGGCCCCATGTACCTCAATCAGATGCGCCACCCCCTCCCACAACCCGCTCCTGTTCGTCTAAATTAGGTTGAAAGACCCAATTCTGATCTGGAAATGGAGTTAACTTTTATCCCAAAACCTGATGTTAATTTTGTTTCCAAACTAAAGTGAACTAAAATTAATTTACAACCCAAAACTTTCAGGTAAAGATACGTCTGGAAATCACGGTCTATCACTCTCCCTGGGGGAGACAGGAACGAGGAGGGAAAAGGCCATCTCCCCATTCCCTGGCTTGGTCCTCTAGCCCCCTGTTTCATCTTTATCCGAAAGAGTTGGGTACCACAACCCATCTTGCTTGAGGGAAGACAGAAAAACTTTAGAGCCGGGAGCCGGGCTCCCTCGCGCGCCGAGGAGCGTGCGAGGACGGCGAGCTGGGGGAGACTGGGGGAGGCGGGGGGCGGGGCCGGGCGGAGGCCGTCGTGGGTGGTCCTCGCCCCCGCCGTGGCCAGAACTGGCTCCTCCACCCCAAGCCGGAGGAGCTGGGGGCTGGGCTGCGTAACTCCACTGCGCCGTGAGTGTCCCCCGAAGTCTCCTTTCCCGCCCCTGCTGTCCGGGGGCTCAGACTAGGGGGCCCAGGAAAAGAGGAGAGAATCCGTACCGTGCTTGGGAGGCAGAGTCGAGAGTTTTCTCCCCGCCCCCAGTTTCTCCTTAGCCAGCCTTCTGCTCCTGGGAGGGCGTCTTTCCAACAGCCGCCTGGGCCCCAGCCAACATTGAGTTCCAGCTAGTAACAGAACGGAAAGAAAAAACAAAATCATCACAAATAAAAAATTAAAAATAAGGGCCTTTTATTCTGGGAGAGAAGAGTGAAAAAGCACATTTTCTTAGTGCCAGAGACGTGCATTTTATACTTTTACTTCTTTTGGTGACGCAGACCCAGAAGTCCGTGTTTTGGCTTATGAGTTGGGGTGATCACCTTCCCTTTTCACTGGCTTTTGAGTAGCTCACCTGACGGAAATCTTTTAGGGACTCTTGGAGAAAGAGACCAAAAACTGTAATCCACAGAACCAGGATTCAAATCCAGATTTCTTAAAAACAAGCTACATTTTTACTTAAGTGTCTATTATCTCTCAGTATCTAGGCTTCTGGGCTTGGACATAAGGGTCAAGAATTTCTGCCTCAGCCCCAGGTCTTAAAACACTCTGAGCAAATGTTAAGAAGCTTGTAGTGTGGTTCAGTGTATCTAGCTTGATCTGTTTCTGTCTCTGGTTTTTAGTATCTCTGGCTTTCTTTCTGTTTGGCTTGATACTAAGAGGGGAAAAAGGACCCCAATTTAAAAAATATTTTTTTCATTGTTATTTCATGTTTCAATTTAATTTGCTCCCTGAATTTCCATGTTTCTAATAACCCTAGTTTCAAGCATGTAGAGTTACTATCAGTATCTTAGAACAGCTATTAACTCTAGGTTCAAAGGTAGGTGAATGGAAGAAGATTGTTGGGAAATCAGGCTGGATGGGCAGAAATAGAAAAGACGAAGGATGGTGAAAATCTGGCTGGGGTGACATGGCAAGAAAGGTACCACTAGGTTCTGGGGGCCTCAAACCCTACAATTTAAACAAGGACTGGAGTGCAGGAATGCCAGTTTTGCAGAATGTTCAGTGGAACTCTGATTCCCTCTGTATCCTTTTTGTGTTGCTGCTGTAAGAAATTACCACAAATTTAGTGGCTTAAAACAGCACAAATTTGTTATCTTACAGTTCCGGAAGTAGAAGTTCAAAATGGGGTTCACTGGACTAAAGTAAGGTATGAGCAGAACTGAGTTCCTTCTGAGAGCTCTAGAGGATTCATTTCTCAATTTCTGTAGGCCACTTGCGTTTCCTGGTGCCTGGCCCCGTTTTCCTTCTTCCAAAGCACATCACTCCAACTTCTGCTTTGTGATCACATCTTTTTTTCTCTCTCACTCATGCCCCTGATAAACCCATAGTGGTTATATTGGGCCCAGCCAGATTATCTAGAATAATCTTCCCATTTTAAGATTCTTTTTTAACCATATCTGTAAAGTCCCTTTTACCATGCAAGGCAATATATACACAGGTTTCAAATTAGGAAATGGACATTGTGGGGTGACCATTATTTAGCCTACCACATCCCTTTCCCACTCGCATGCTTGTCTTAAGGTGGGGAGATGTAGGAATGAGCAACTGTTGGATACTAGCAAGAGTTTGAGGTAGATGTGATCTGGCCTTGATTCTAATAATTACTTAACATTTATTGAGTGTTTACTGTGTACCAGGCACACATATCTATTACAAAGTTTAATAGGTGGGTCTTTGGTTTTTCTGACTTGTCACCATCCCTAAGACCAGATATGTCAGTAGAGTCAGGGACTAGTTTCAAGAAGGGAACACAAAAAGGACATGGTTTCTTTCACCAGAAGAATTCTCCTGATCCATTAATCTAAAATGGTTAAGAACAGCCCTGGCTGGTTTGGTTCAGTGGTTAGAGCGTAGCCCGTGGACCAAAGAGTCTCGGGTTCGATTCTTCCAGTCAAGGGCACGTACCTAGGTTGCAGTTTATCCCCGGTCTTGGCCAGGGTCATGCGGGAGGCAACCATTTGATGTGTCCCTCTCACAGTGATGTTTCTCTTTCTCTCCCTCCCTCTCTCTCTCTCACCCCGCTCCCTCTCTCCCTCTCTCTCCCTCCCTCCTGCCCTCCCTCCCTCTCTCTCCCTCCCTCCCTCCCTTCTTCCTTGCCTCTCACTCTATCTGAGGAAAAATGGAAAAATATCCTTGGGTGAGGATAAAAAATAACATAAAATAAATAAATAAAATGGCTAGGAACATTGTGAAAGCCCCCACCCCCTAAAAATAAATTGAGGAATTAGATATTCCATCCATAGATAAAACACTTAGAGGAGAGAATAAAGCAAGGGCTGTAGAACTCAGGTTGGAAGTTAAGCCTTCAGAGTCTTCTCACAACCATGCCAGGAATCTAGTATATCAAATGGATGAATGGAATAGTGTAGAGATTCCAGAGATATTTTCAATTATCAGTACAGAGGTGTTAGGACAAATGGATTATACTAATTATACTATGGAAAAGAAGTAACTTAGATTCATATCTCACCTTATACACTGAAATGCTTTCCAGAGGGTAAAATAAATATTTTAAAGCAAAAAAAAAAAAAAAGTCAGAGTATCGTATTTGTCCTAGCTGTAGGAAGCTGGAGCGGACAGTTTTCAGTGCACCTGCCCAGCTCACAGTGATTCTTCCTGTTTTAGAAACTGGCGCACTATTCCACAAGCCATACAGGTGAGTCTTGAGGGGCCATATGTGTACTATCAGCTGTAGTTTCCTAGACATAGCTGACAGGATCAGGCGTGGGCACTAAATTAGTTTCCTAGAACTACTGTAACAAAGTACCACAAACTGGGTGGCTTAAAACAACAGAAACTCTTGTCTCACAGTTCTGGAGCCAGAAGTCCCAAATCAAGGTATTGGTAGGCCATACTCCTTCTGGTGGCTCTAGCAGAGGATTCTTCCTTACCTCTTTCAGCTTCTGGTCCCCCAGGCATTCCTTGGTGTACGGCGGCCATCTGCGATCTCTGCCTTCAAATTCACATGGCTGTCTCACCTCTGTGTCTGTCCTAACTTAACACAAGTTATGTTGAAATAAGGGCCCCCTCTACTCTAGTATGACCTTCTCTTAATGAATTACATCTGCAATAACCCTATTTTCAAATAAGGTCACATTCTGAGGTACTTAGGGATTAGGGGTTCAACATATCTTTTTAGGGGGACACAGTTCAACGCATAATGGGCACCTAGTCCAAACTACCAAACAGTTCCTTCTCTGGGACTTCAGAATTGAGAATGTGTTTCTAGTCACAAGGGGAGGCTGGGATTAGCCTACTTACACCTATGGACGAAGTAGCAGAGAAGGTCTGTTTACAGAAAGAGGAGAATGGAAGAGAATGTGGGAAGCAGAGACAAAAGCGACAGGAAGGATACTTCTGGTGGCAGCTTTCACTATTGTCC